CTCTTTTTTCATATTTCATCCTTTTTAATATATGGCCTATCATTAAAAACTAGTATTATTCATTTTAATAAGGAAATAAAGTAGTAAGGCAAATACTAACCTTTTCAATCAAATTATCAGAATTTATTATAAATTAATCTGAATTTTAGTATAATCTATTTGATTTCCCTTTTTATAAAAAAGACTCAATCAATCCATTGTGAATTTTTCCTATTTTATTTGGCAATAATTACTCTATCTTAGTCAATGTTGTTCCATTATTATTCTCATATCCAAAGAAATTGTAAAATTAATCATTTATTTATTAAGATATTTAACCAAATGTTTAAGTAGATATATTTGAAATCACTGACAATGCTTATCCTTATATAAATTATAAAGAATTAAAGTTTAATTACTTTTGATTAATTAAATCTTTTTCATAATTTTATATATGTCTAGCTATTTTCATTGATAAATTTATATCCTCCATACAAACTAAACTACTAACTAATTTTATTCTAAGAGTTAATATAGTATCTATTTTTGGAGATTCTTTTGAGTTCTCAAACTTTTTTATTATTTTTTTCAAAATTAATGTTCTTTTCATTATATCATTAGAACAACTTAAAATCTTTTCTAATTAAATTTGATTTCTTAGTTTTTCAATCCATAATTATTTTTATGTTACTAATAATCCATTAAGATTACTAACTAAACTTTATTCATATCTATAAAACAAATTAAATTCTTATAAAGTTAAATATTCTGATTGTGATATCTATGATCCTGCTTTATTGATATTCTCCATTTCAACTTTATTTTAGTATTATATATGTTTAGCCAGATTTAAGAAAAAAAAAGGTTTTTTATCTGAATTCATTTTTTTAAAAGTTTAAATTACATCTTAAATTATCTTATATGATAACACTTAATTTTCTCTGTATTTTTAGAGGAAAGTTACAAATTTAATAGTTAATTATTCAAATTATTTAAATAGTTCTGTATTTTATAGAATAGATTTAATCATCTATTAAAATTCATACTGAACCCATAAATATATTTAATTTGTACTTAATTAATTATGATTTTGTATAAATTTAGTTATCTTTTATTTGCAAGGACATATTAAATCACAACAATTTTAACAATGAATCTCTAAATATTTCAATACCAAAAAATAATCATGTTACTATTTTATATCTTAATGACATAACTAGCATATTACTTCTAAAGGATGTTCACTAATATTTGTACATCTAGACCTTACAAATTATTAACATTTATTATCAATATAATTATCATAAAATGCTTAATTAATTCCAAAAATCAACTATAATTAAATTTAATTCTTACAGGTACAACTATGCAAAATGTTAAAAATATATGACCATCATCTAAATCAGAAAATATCCAAATTGCAACTAAAATTTCAAAAAATGTAGCACTTAGCAAACATTAACTAAAATGTATAGTTTCACTAGAAAAACCAAAAGGAAAATTGCTAAATGTATCTAATGAAATTATAAACATTATCATAATAAAAATTACATGTATTATAATATTGTAATTATCATACATTTCTTTCCAAAATGAAGCCATTTATAATATCATATGTAATAAAATGGTTAAAAAGTTTAAATAACTAAATTTTCTCATTAAATCTCCTTATATAAATTCATAATTTCTAAAACAATATAATGAAAGGAATCCTGAAATAATTACCAAAGCTTATCCTAAAAAACTTATTATTAAAAAATGAGGAGATATTTCAGCAAAACAATTTCTAGGATTCAAACCTGTATGTTATTCCAAATAGGCTAAACGTCCACAAGTTAGTACACCAATCATAGTTTCATGAAAAGGTGTTAAAAAATACCATTAAAAGTTCTAAAAGTAAAATTTTACAAATCTATTAATTAAATGTGATGGAGGCAAAGGCTAATTAATAAGTATTTATTATACTTTAAAAAGAATTTGAAATATTATAATTCCATAGATTGAACACATTGTACCAAATATACAATAATAAACTAATGTTGTAAAAGGATCATAATGGATAACAATCATCATAAATGGTATTGATGAGTATTAACCAATTTATGCTAAATAATCATTTTCATAAAACACTTGAGTTTTACTTTCAAATTAACTATATAGATATCCAAGTAATTAAATAAAATAAAATACTATCATGGCCAGATTTCCATAATCTACCTTCTATTTTCTTCTCTCTATATTAGATCCTATTGTTAAAAAGAAGTAAACTAGTTTAGAAAAATATTTCATCAACTCCTAAATTAATAAATATTGAATTATAAACATATCAAATCCCTAAATACAATTTAGATACAATTGACCTTTAAAAAAACCATAAAATCAAAATAATATTTAATCTATTCTTAATGACTATAAAATTTTGAGCTATTTAATCTTATAATTAATTGATATAAGTTATAAAAGATCAATATGAAATATTTATTATTTTCTACAATATTAGAATTATTAATTACTAATCAAAGATTAATATACTTTATAAAAAATAATAATAATAATAATTTAACTTTAAATTATCTTAGATTATATTCAAATAGAAAAAAAATAAACTCTATGTTCATTACGAAATCTAAATCGTATTTTTGTCATTCTTCATCATGAAATTTCATTAATTAAGGATTTTCTGATTAAGAATCAATCAATTCTTCAAAATATTAATCATCTTTGCTTTTTATTTATAGACTAGCTGATGTCACTGTATGACTTCTTTAAATTGATTAAATTCTTGGTGTATCTAAATCTTCCAAAAGCTCTTGTTATTATTACATCTATTCAAGCATTTCATAATACTCAAAGAAAAAATGAGTCATTTCTTGAAATCTTCTCTCTCCCATCGTAATTATATCTTCAGTATCAATTGTCCTGTAGTTTCTGATGTATATATAATTAATGTTTACCTTCTCATATTCTCGCTTTTTTGTAAAATACCATTAATAAAAGAAATTCTTTATCTGATAGCTGGATTTCTTTATATATTTTTTTATCTGTTTTTTTGAAAGTATGATTGAAGCTTAAATAAATTTAATATAGCCTTTTAAGCTAATTACTTTATTGAGATTTTTAAATTAGCTTTGTCTAACAATGTTATAGAACGCATTTCTGAAGTGAAAGGTTATAAGTCAGAATACAAAATAGCTGTAAACAAAGAGGTTAGTGCTACCCCATAGAATAAACCTAAAGTCATTGAAAACCTTCCAAGATCAGTTAAAGGGTATATATCACCATAACCAACGGTAAATATTGTTATCATACAAACCCAAAGAGAATTCTTAAAATTATAAGACATCACTTCTTATTCTGTTCTTAACAAAGATCTTTCTGAAATCTCTAATTAATAAGAGAAAATAAATAATCCTATACAAAAGAGTCCACAAATAGTCTTATAGGGATGTTATCTTATTGCTACTTTAAATATAAAATGCGGACCAAAATCTACTGAATAAATACGACTTAAATTGAGAGAAATATATACCATAATCTATTGACTCTATTAGAATAGAAGTCTGAGAATTTAAATGCTATGTTTAGAATCAATAAGGATCTAAAAAGCATTATGAAAGTGAGAATCTCATTAATGTAATAAAATCGAATTTGGTCTGAATATCTTTATGTATAGAATATCTTGAATTCCATTGTATAAGGTGTAGGACAAGGTAATAGAATGATAGTCTCCAAAAACAATAAGAAAATCAAATTAGTTTAAAATATATTGCTGGCTTTAGGAATAGAAAGAGAACGTTTTTTAAATTCAAGTTCTGCTAAATAAGCAATAAATGTCATAATAACTAAATATATTAATAATATACTTGTAACTATAGATAAGATCATTATCAAATAGAGTAATATTTTTATTTCATTATCGTAAGTATCCGTTAATTGATGCAAAAAAGAAACTTCATACTATAATTATTTAATATAATTTATACCTCTAAAACAACTAAAACTAGAGTAGCACATATTATCCAAAATCTACCTTATTCTAAAACACGATATCTTTCAAAATACACTCTTGTTACTCTACTATCTTCAAAGGCATTATGCTTAGAGCTTTATATAATTGTAGATTTTTTTTTTGATCTTTTTCGTTCAATTTGATTTAAAATGATAACAGATAGCCTTTTTTAATATTATACTGCTTCATCTTCATTGGCCCTAGAAACTGGATTTCCAGACAACTCAATAGAGCCTTCATTTTATAAATTCATAATATAATTTTAACTATCAATTATTAATCAATCATAAAAGTTCATAAGCCAAAAATATATAATTGATTTTTTTTTAAATTTCAAAGAATTCGTTATCTATGATCAGTTTTTATTCTTTTTTCATTAAAATAACTAATTGAAAGGAGAACTAAATAAAGCTGATTCAGTATTTCAAATAAAATCTAGAGTATTTGATGCTCTGTTTTAAATATAATCTATTTAGATATCATTTAGAATAAAGAATTTCTTCTACTCTATTTATAAATACTTTATATTCTAATATAAATTTAAATAATAAATTATGTTCTCAATATTTAAAAATGTAAAGAACAGTTTTTCAATTTTTAAAATAATGTCATTTAGACATTGTTAAATATACAACAGTTTTTTTCAACTCATTTCTTTCTTATTTTAATTCATTTATAATAATAATAATATTTATGAGCTAGCTTTTATTATATTCTTTGTAATTTTAGTATTATTATTAGCATTCATTTCACTATATTATATTGTAAATATTTGAAGAGAATTATTATAATTCTTTAATTTTTTTAAGGTATATATTGATTGAACTACTTATTTATTAATGAAAGTTATATTTCCTATACTTAAAAGGATTTGTAATTTAAAAATGAATTTACAATTAATTAAATATTAATGTTAATAGAAATATATTATTTTTGTTGAGTTGTTAATAAATATTTGAATATATTAAATATTATAATTTAATATAATAAAAATAAATTCATAGATATTCCTTCAATCATACCAATTATGATAATGATAATTTTATAATGAAATAAGTTCTTCAAGCATTTCTTATATTTATTTATTTTGGTATTTACACATTTTCATAATGTCTTAATATTCCTCTAAAATATCATTAGATTCTCTTGACCTTCTTTTAAATAAGTTTACAATATTTTCAGAAATTATACTTTTATATTGTCTCTTCAACATTTAAAATTCTTTCAATTCTGTTTGTATAATTTTAACTCTATTGTATGTAAAAGGGTTTTTATCAAATTTCATTATATAATAAAATTGTTCTCCAATATTGCTTGTGACTTGATACATACTTTCTTTCATTATTAATTTATCTAGTAAAACACATGCTTAATATTCTCCATATTCTTATTCAAATGCTTAAATAATTGCACTTATAATGATTGAAGCCATTACAAAACCAGCATATGCAGCATATGATAATATAATTCTCCCTAAATTAGTTACAGGTACATAATCTTCATAAGCATATGCCAATAAGGATAAAATCACTTCTAAGAAACAATGTTTACTATGATAATAATTATAAATTATGTACAATAATTAAATAGTCTATAAATTTTCTCTTTGAAGTGCTTTTTCAGCAATCCACATTGCTATTGTACAATACCAAAATGTAATACTAAAGATAGATATTATTAATATGATTGGTTAAGAATGAATCATATATTTGAATAAAAATTTAGGATTCATCATAATCCCATAATTTAATGATAATCTCTATGTTTGGCTATTATAAAATTTGCATAATCTTAAAAATATGAATAATATTTGAAATGATCTTAAAGTACTTATCATTATAATAATTTCATTTACAGTATAATAATATTCGTTGTTTTTTATAGTAAATGTTAAATGTATGTCTATTTAAATATATATATATTATTATTATTACCTCTAGTAAAAACAGTAGGGAATATTAATAAGAATATAGTTTCTATTAAAAATGGTTTCATTTGATCTGAATGATAAAATGATTAATCTTTTGGAATTAGTAAAGTAGATTTCCAATAATTCATTAGAGTTAGATAACTTAAAAAAGTAAATAAAATGAGTATCAAATTTAGACTAAATGTAAGCCATAAGATCAAATCTGATCCTTATTTTTCAATGAATATTTCATCATCAATCTATTTTGAAAAAAGTATTAATACTTCTAAAAACCATAATGCAGTTATTACAAGGATTAATTATAATCGAAAATTTTCAATCAATTTATGTCCTTCCATAATCAATTTAGTTACTCGACTATCTTCAAAACATATTATTTCTTTTTGTTAAACCTTTTGATAATTATTTTCCTTAGTTTGTATTTCATCTTGACCTACAGAGAAGGATCTTTCATAGCCAAGATTCCCAATTCCAGTTTTGAATTGCTTTGTGTAAGTGACTTAATTAATTGAATCGTTTTAATTCATTTATCATTAGCATTAATTATATCCGTAAATTATATATCAATAGTCAGTCTTCTTCGAAACGCATTAAGTGAGAACAATTTATAGTTTCATTTAAATTGTCAAAGAAATCATCATCTTTACTACTCTCCTTTACTTTAACTGATTACTTTATAGAAAAATCAAAAGGTTTTTCTATTGTTGAAGCAATTAGTTTTTATTATTTTTAGATTTTCTCTAAAAATTCTTAAACATCCTCAAATTATCCATTAATATCCTTAAATTTTCTTTTAACCATAGCCATAAATTCTTCACCATCAATATCTCTATATTACCTTTTTAATGTACTAACTTCTTATAAAAGATTATTCATAGTCCCTATCTAATCTTTCAAAAAAGTTGCCTCTTCTAAAGATTTAATTTGATTAGTATGTTTTTTAGATAAATCATTAAGTTTTATTAAAATATTTCCACTAACATTTTAAATAATTTTCCTGATATTAGCTTTTTCCAATAATGCCCATGCCAAATATTCACCATTCATAGGAGTAAGTAAATTATATAGAGTAGCTGTAAAAAGTGATGTAACAACAACTCCATAAACTACACCACAAGCCATAGCCACTCTACCTAAATCAGTATATGGAAAAAAATCACCATATCCAACAGTAAAAATAGTTATGAGATTTATCCAAAATCTATTACCAATATAAGAAGGATCTAAAGAGTCTTCTAATCTAAAAAGAGCACGTTCAGCTACTTCTAATGAATATCCAAAAACAAACATTCCACCTGCAAATAAAATTGATTATGTTTCAAATGGTCTATCTCTTATACATAATTTCAACATCAAATGTGTATTGAAATCAGCTGAATATAATCTACAAATTCTTCCTATTCTTGAAGATGAATACTTTTAGAATTTAAAAATAATGTTAAGCAATAAGAACCCTTTAAACATTGATAGAAAAGTTAATATTTCATTTATGAAATAAAATCTAATTGTGTCAGTATATCTTTATTGAAATTCTACCTTTTAATAACATGTATATGGAGTTGGTATTAGAATTAATAAAATTATTTCCCAAGCAATACCCCAAATCAATGATGTTTCAGATAAATTTGCTTAAGGAGTAATCATTTATGCTTCTTTTTGATATGCCATTAAAACCTGATAACTAATGAAAGTTAATATAACTAAATGTTATATAAATAATATACTGCTGAGAATGGTTAAGAACATAATTAAATAAAGAAATAATTTCATTTCTTCATCTAATGTTCTTGTTAAATAAGTACTATATGAATATTCATATTCTAAGACAATTAAAGTTATAGTAGCAGTTATTGTAAAGAATCTAGCTAATTCAACAGTCTTATATTTCTCAAATAACAGCATAGTTATTCTACTGTCTTCAAATGAAGATTTATTTTTTTCCCCATCATTTAATATATTTGATTCCACTTTCTATGATTTTGCCGAACTTCTACTCTCTTTTCTAGATCTGACAGAGTTTTCAATTTTCACAATTTTTATTTCCTCTTCAGGCACCATAGAAACTTTGATGCCTTACACACTTCTCTCTGTGAATATTTAATTCATTGTTTTAATCAAACTAAAATAAATAAATTTTCAAATTACATCAAATCTGCATTCTCCATCAAATTATGTTTCTTAATCTTCAATTTTAATATAATGGAATCATCCTAGTAATTAATACAAGGTACTCCTAAATTAATAAAAATTTTAGATATACAAAATCAATCAAATGTAAACTATCCTAAATTAATAAGATGAACTAGAATCTACTCATTAATCATAATCATAATCTTAGAATTATAGAATAAAATCAAGTGATATGAATAAGATATATATTCTTGCAGAATAAGGTTTATAAAATAAGTAGGTTTATGTAAAATAAAAAAAACTTTCTTTTTGTTCAGATGAAATAAATTATTGGATATCCAATTTATTAATGATTGATAGCCAATATAAACAAATCAAAATTTGATTACTCAAATAAACAATAAAAAATTGATACAATATTAGTGATATTAAAAAATAATAAGTCAAATATTTGAATAAATAATGAGAAGAAATTAGTTAAATTAGATTAATTAATGAAATTCAAAGAATATTATATGTAAAAGAAAAAAACAAGACTTATTTTATTAGCAGAATAGGTGAAATAGATTAGATAAAAAAATAGATTTATATAAATAATAATAATATTATTTATGTAAATAACTATAATATTATTAGTCATAATAAAGATATAAAATTAATTATAATTAAAGAAATAAGATAGTATATTTCAGTTAAAAAAACATAATTAAAAGCTAAGCTTAAAAAACAAATTTTTTAATAAAAAGCTATGTTTCAATAGTGATCCAATTAATCTATGATAACAATTTGATAAATAAGAATTGGTATCTATTAATTCAAAAGAAAAAGAGCAATCAAATTTCAAATAATAAATTTACTGAAAAGTTTTAAAACTTAGTATATTAAGATTTTAAAATAGAAGATTTAAATAAATTTTAACAAAATAATTCAAAGAAAACATAACATGAATAATAAATAATAGAAAGTAAAAACATTTATCAAAATACAATAAAATTGATTATAATTTTAATATCCTAGATTGATATTTTATTTTATTTTTCAAATAATTAATAAAAATGGTCTTATTTTTTGCAGAGCTACTTTCTCATCAACTAAAACAACTTCTTTATGTTATCCATTATGAGTAATTTCAGCTTTAGATTTATTATTGTTAAATACCTCTTAAATCATAAAAATAAAATGGTTCTCCTATTTAATATCTATATTTTCCTGGAACAGGCATTGTCTTAAATTTCAAATTCATCACTGCACCTGTTTCTACATCAGCCATTTTAAAATATCCAGTTGTCATTGATGTATCTGTATTGAAAAATTGCCAAAACTAAAAAAATTAATTCTTTTATTACCTTATTCTTAAATTCTGGGAATTTTTCAGGACATGGATATCCACGATCATATTCACAATCGTAATCTAAAACATGAAGAGTTTCATCCTTAAATAGAGCATTTATTTCATTATTTTTGTATAACATATCTCTTAGGTATGTTTCTTTGAAATCAGGATCACCACATTTGTCTCTTGCTCTCACATATAACATTGCTAATGGTAATACTGTTAAAACCTAATTGATATCCATGATTTCATACTTTAAATCCAAATGCTAATGGATAAAATTGATAAAAGAATAGACTAAATGCAGGCAAGAAATAAACATTAAACTTATCAAATAATCTATGTCTTCTTTCTATTAAACATGAAAAATTTGGCACCTAGATTATTAATATAATGTATACATGTCTATGTAATAAATCTTAGATCCAAGCCCATCCAAGTGGAACTGATTCCCAATTATCTTTTGGAGTTTTTACATAGGTATGCTCTTAATTAATATCTCTTGGATATGTGTAATAAGCATTCTTAAATTTGTATTACCATCTTTTGTTATATGGATTAGATGATTGCCATACAATTTTGTTGTATTAGGAACGATGTACCAATTACTGCACTACTTTGCTCTTAATAATTTACATTATAAATATCTTTTAATTAGTAATATATGCTAATATAATCATTGTTTTCTAAACTTTTTTTCCCAAACATCTAACTCCTCAATCATTCTTCTATTTTCTGTTTATTGTTCTTCATACTAAAATCTATTAATATATTTACTTCTTTATTAATCCCTATTTTTCTTATTGTAGATGTAAAATCTTTATGTTTTTTTATTGGAGGCATATAAGTTAATTTATCAGGTCCTCCTTAACTTTTATGTGTAAATAATATTTCAGGATTTGTGACATTTTTTGGGAATCCAACTCTTAATTGAGGTTTGTATTGCATAACAGGTGTAGGGTCAAAAGAAAAATGCCTTCTACCTTTTGTTTCAATAGTTCCTAAATCAAAGTCTCTTCCTATGCTGTCGATAGGTTTTAAGTGAATTCTACCTCCTTAAAATTTCTACGGTTTTGAACCTTCAGGTTAAACTGAAATCATTATATAATTTAATAAAATTATTGCATATTTCATCTTTTGAAAATTAGTCTTCTGGATTTTACATAATTCATTCTAGAAAGTAGATATTTATTCATTAAATTAAGTGATTTTTGATATATACATATATAGATATTGTGTGTATCATTTTGAAAATAATCTCACCTAAAATTGAATTTGTATCTTTAATTCTTGAAGTTCTTCTTCTTATTTATTTTTTATTATCTAGAATTATTATGAAAATTAATCAATAAAAATAGAAATTTTATAAATTCTTAAACAATCTACAATCTCTTTAGAATTCTGTATTTAATCAAAAGATCAAATCGACTATTCTAACTTATCCATATTTTTGATGTAATTATTAATGATATGAATATAAGATCTTCATCCTTATTTGAAAATAATCTACTATTTTAGAATACTATTTATTAAAAACTAAATATATATATTTGTTGTTATAATTCTCCTTTTAGTTATACGATAAGATTATTTAGTTTCAGTAAATAATTGAGATACTTTTATTCTTCAAGAATATAAAATTAAGAATTAAATCCTATATACTTTTATGTCATTAATATTTAATTTATATTAGAATGTCTCTATTCTTATTTTGTCACAACAAAAAAATATTTTATTTTATCCTTTAAAGAGGGGATTCTGATTTAGATTGTTAAATAATTGTCTCTTTTCAACAATTATTATTTTTGTTCAGACAATCTTATTCACAAAATATAATTGAAATTCCATTAGCAATTAAATAAATAAATGTAATTATTGAGAAGAGTGTATCAATTTGGCTCAACAAAACATAGATTTGCTTCAGATATTACAAGTACAAATAGATAGAAAATGAACTTGTTTCAAGCAATAAACAACGCTCTTGATATAGAATTAGGAGCAAATCCAAAGTATGTCATAATATATAAGAAAGGGCGTTATTATTTGGAGAAGATGTTAAATTTGGAGGTGTTTTCAGATGTTCATAGGGATTGAATGAAAAGTATGGTACTGATAGAGTATTCAACACTCCATTGTGCGAACAAGTATGAATAAATTATAATAATTAGGGAATTGGTGCTTTTGGTATTGGATTAGCAAGTGTAGGATACACAGCAATTGCAGAAATTTAGTTTGGTGATTACATTTTTCCAGCTTTTGATTAGATAGTCAATGAGGCAGCAAAATTCAGATATAGATCTGGTAATCAATTCAATTGTGGAAGTTTAACAATTAGATCTACTTGGGGAGCTGTAGGACATGGGTAAGAATACTATAATATAATTTAGTGCCTTATATCATTCATAATCTCCAGAAGCATACTTTGCTCATACTCCAGGATTAAAAGTAGTAGTACCTAGAGATCCAATATAAGCAAAAGGATTATTACTTGCATCTATAAGAGATAAAAATCCAGTGATATTTTTTGAGCCTAAAGCTTTATATCGTAATGCTGAAGATGAGGTTCCTTTGGATGATTATGAAGTATGTTAAAATGGAATGAATTTTAGTTGGAATTATCTAAAGCAGAAGTAGTTTAATCAGGAAAAAACATAACATTAATTGGATATGGAACATCAATAAGAGTGTTGAAAGAAGCAGCTAAGTTAGCTGAAAAGGATGGAGTAAGTTGTGAGATAATTGATTTATAAACAATATATCCATATGATGGATAAACACTAGTTGATTCAGTGAAAAAGACTGGAAGGTATTAAATTAATAGATGAAATAGATGCATAATAACACATGAAGCCCCTTATACATGTGGTATGGGAGCAGAATTAAGTGCTTTTATTTAAGAGAGATGTTTCTTGCATTTGGAAGCACCAATATTAAGAATTACAGGATATGATACACCATTTCCATTAGTTCATGAACCAATTTATCTACCAGACAAATTAAAAATTTATGAAGCTATAAAGAAGAGTGTAAATTATTGATAAGAATAAATAATTATATTAAATGTTATAAACATATCTGACAAAAGCTTAAAATATTTGTAAGAGTTTCTATGAAAAGAAAGGAAATAAAGGAGTAGCATAATTAGCAGTATTAGGTTTGGGATTATTGTATCTTTAACATCAAATACGTAAACATAATGGGTAATTTATTTAATTTATGATTATAAGATGGTTAAAGAAGAAGAGTGTAAATAATGAACATATCTTTATTACAGGAGGAGCAAGTGGTATTGGTAGAAATATGGCATTTAGATTTGCAAAATTAGGAGCTAAAGTATATAAAATATTAATATTATAAAGATATCTATAGTAGATGTGAATCAAGAAGCATTATCAAAAGTTGTAGATGAATTAAATTAGACTTATGGTTAAAAAACTGCTTTTGGAGTGATATGTGATGTTAGTAATCCTTCATCTGTAAAGGATGCTATTTAAAAATGCAATGCTTTTCATAATAAAAAAATAGATATTTTGATTAATAATGCTGGAGTTGTGAGTGGAAAACAAATACTTGAAAATTCAGAAGCTGGTATTTCAAGAACAATGAATATTAATACAACTGCTCATCATTGGACTGTTAGAGAAGTGTTAGGAGATATGATTAATAATAAACATGGTCATATTGTAACAATTGCTTCAATTGCAGGTTGGGTTGGAGTTAGAGGATTAGCTGATTATTGTGCTTCTAAATTTGGAGCTGTTGGATTTGATGAATCTCTTAGATTTGAATTAAGAGCTACTAAATCTAATGTAAAAACAACTTGTATTTGTCCATATTTCATTAATACAGGAATGTTTGATGGAGCAAAATCTAGGTTTCCTTTACTATTCCCAATTCTATCTGAAAGTAACAATCATATAAATTAATTAGATTATGCTTCTCAAAGAATTGTTAATGCAATACTTTAAGAAGAAACGGTTGTTATTATGCCAATTATTCTAAATGCTGCTATAATTGTTAAAGCAATCTTTCCAACATGTATTTATGATAACATGATGGAACTTTTTGGAGTCAGTGAATCTATGGATCATTTTAAAGGAAGGCCATAATAAAAATGATCATAAAATATCATAAATTATCAAATATCATAATAATTCTAATAAGTTTATTCTAATATTTTCATATAATATTATTTCATCTTCATATTTATGCCATAATTCATTACATTTTTCACATGTTTATTGATTCCACCATGCAGTATTACTCCACCACCACCATTTCCAATCTTCTTTCTTATATGGAAGCCAATCCCAATTTGTTAAGAAATCATCAAAAATTTTTCTATGCATTTCTTTTAAATGAGGATTTATCTCTTTATCAAGTATTTAAATCATTTGATCCTTGATTTACATTAAAGCTTAAGAAGTTTTTTTCTAAGCATCAGATTACAAAGGACAATTAATTTTATGAGAATATAAATCTTCATATTAAATTATCCCACAACCTTAAGGACATTTACATTATAAACTATTTAAAGTTTTTCTCAATTCTTAATTTGGTTAGACATCAGATATGTTTCTTCTACATAAAGGGCATTTCTAAAGATGTATTACACAGTCTAAACAAATTGAATGGACCTGACAATTATACTTGACTGGCTAAAATAAAGTATCTAAACATATTGGACATTCAAAATCTTTAACTATTTCGTGGATTACTAATTCTGATCTTGAAAATATTTAATATTGTTAGATTTACATAAATTATTTAATTATCATGAGACTTTGCTCGTTTTATTATCAATTTCAAGTGCTTTGGAATAATCAGCTATAGCCAGATCCATTTCCCCAATACTAGTTTAAATTTATCAATAATTTACTTATCATAACAACATCCTCGATTGAAATAAGCATTAGCTCCTTAGTCGTTCTACAATTATATTACTGAAGTGAAATCCTCTATAGCCTTTATATTTATATATAATCTACTTTACGAAATTCACCAATCCTCTCATTACAAATACCTCTATTATATATTGCATGAATGTTAACTGGATCTAATTTTATTGCTTTAGTATAATCAGCTATAGCTTCATCAAACTAACCCAATTTAGCCAAACAATATCCTCTATTATTTAGAGTTCTAGTGTTTTCTTAGGAACAAATTATTTCTTGTGAATAACAATATACAGCTGTCTCAAAGTCTTCCATTTTTCTCAGAACTAACCCCATATTTGAATAGATAATAGGGTTCTTTGAATCTAAAGATAAAGCCTTCTTAAAATCTTCCAAAGCTTCTTCAAACTTATTCATGCTTCTTTTACAACATCCTCTATTATGAATATATACAGGATTCTATGGTTCTATTTCTATAGCCTTATTGAAATCTTAACATGCTTTCTCAAATTCTCCAATTTTATCAAAAACTAAACCTCTTCCATTGTAAGCTGGTGCATAATTTTAATCAATTTTTAGAGATCTAAAAATTATATTAAATTCATTACGAATTAAAGTATTTTAATGCTTCTTCTAATTTCTATTGTCTATCCATCAAAATACCAATATGAGTTAAAGTATTTGGATTATTTGGTACAACATTATTAGCAATTAAATAATCTTATTATGCTTTATCAAAATCTCCTAATTTTTCATAACAATTAGCTCTATTATAATAAGCTTTAAAATGATTTTTATCCAATCTAATGCATTCATTAAATTCTAGAATTGCTTCTCTAACTAAATTCTTTTTTTTCATTGCAAATCCTTTATTATGATAAAAGTCTGCTTTTGAAGGATCAAGTTCTATTGATTTAGCAAAATCCTTAATTGCTAAATTGTAATCTCCTTTTTTATCATAAGAAATTCCTCTGTTATAATAAGCATATGCATTTTTTGAATCCATTTCAATAGCCTTAGTATAATCACTGATGGCGTCATTATACATTCTGAGTTTATCAAATGCAAAACCTAATAAGATTATATATTTAAATTATACCTCTATTGAATATTGATTTAAAATGATTTGGATTAAACATTAAAGCCATTGTATAAAATTCTATTGCTTTTATAAAATCTTCTTTTTTTCTAGAATCAAAACCTTATGAATGAAACCAATCTGATATTTTCTTATTATCATTTTTGATGTTTTCAGGTATCATAGATATCAATTATTATTACATAGGTTATGATATTTCTTTATCAATTATTTGAGATGGTCTTTGTATATTTAATTCATTTGCATCAATACTTATATAAAGAGGATTCTAACTCATAAAACTAGTTTATTAAGGTTAATTTTGTATTTATGATTGATCATTTTATAAGTATTCTTCATCATTCTAAGGATTCATTAAATCATCTTCTTCAGGTTGTTAATATTTATTCTTTTTAGTACTAAATTAAAATCCATCAGTTTTTGGATATGGTTCATCTTTTTTCATAGAACTATTCCTAAGTAAAGACCTTTTATTAATTGAATTAGATAGATTTAGAGATTTTGCATTATCTTTTTCTAAAGCTCTTGTATAATCTTCAATAGCTCCAGCAAAATCCCCTTTCAAATTTAAACAAGAAGCACGTGCAAATGCTGCATTAACATGATTTTCATCTAATGAAAGAACCTTTGAAAAATCTTCAATTGCTAAATCTATTTAACCCAATTTTTCATTTGCGCATCCTTCATTTTCAAATTTTAATACCTCTCAAATAATATCCTCCTACGTTATCACTATCTGTTTCAAGAAGCTAATTACAATCTTGAATAGCTGTTTAATACTCTCCTTTCTTAATATAAGCTGATGCACGAATATAAAGAGCTTTCTTGTGATTTGGACAATTCTTGAGTTTCCCTGTACATATGGCAATCAAATTGTCTATATTGATGGACTAAATTTGTTTTACAATCTTACAGGTCTATACTTAGGAACTTTCTATTGACTAGGCAATTTTGTTAAGCCTGGTGCTTACATATTTTAAATTTAGAGAAAATATTGAATAAATACTATTAATTGTATTTAGATAATGATTATAATATTAGTAAATTACATTAATGTTTATAATTATAATTCTTGTTTAAATTAGAATACACTAATTTTCATAATTATTACAGAATAATCATATTGAGCCAATATTAAATATAAAGTAAATATGGTTATTGTCATAATTGTAATATATAATTCTACATCTAAAAATTATAATTATAGATTCTTCTTTAAATATTCATTTTTTCTATCAAATCTTTCTCTTTTTTGTTCATGCTTTATTTATAATAAAACTAATAATTTTAGTCTAAAAAAAAATCATATAATTTTAAGATTGGATATTATTAAGGAACTAACGTATAATTTATAAATTAACTATTATCATTTTTTAATATGGTTGGGAATGGATGGCAGAGTTTAGTCTTGCTATGAAACCTATAATCGTAGTAATTTAGATTGTTTGTATGATGTTTGAGATAAGATATTTGAATCTAGAAGTTTAATTTTTGACCTAGTTTGAGATAATTTAAATAAAATACTAAGATGCAAGGATTGACTTTTCATCAGTGCTTTAATTAGAAAGTTATAGAATTAAATTTTGATAGATTTCTTTAGAGATTCCTTTAGGACTTTAATGAATAGGATTGCTTAGCATTCTTCTATGAGATGAATCACCTAATTTTTAATCTATTTTAATTCCAAGTTCAACTAATTTTGTTGCAGATAGTTAAAGATTAGAAATTTATTTATTACTTAAATCTTTAATTAATTTTTATAATCTAGCATTTTCCTTTGTAAGTACATTTAGTTATTCTTCATAAAATTATTTAAAGGTTTCAATTTCTTTTATTTAAGGTGTTTCTATTTAAATGGGTTTAGTGATTGAATTTAATTCAGATTGTAAGGATATTATGATTTCTTATAAATGAGTATTATCTCTTCTAACATTTCCCAATTCTTGATTAAGGAAATCAAATTAGTCTTATTGTAATTTTGCCCTTTCTATAAAAGAGACAAGATTTTATAATTATCTTTGGAGACCATAGACAACTAATTCTAATCTTTGATTTTCTTGTGTAAGCTTCTTATTTTAGTCATGAAGATGTTCTTTGGTTAATTATATCATAATTAGAAATTTAGAATATATTTCTTGAAATATTAATTAATATTCACTCAATATTTTAGGATAGATTTTGTTTTAGAGTATGAATCTAATCTTCAAAGTTTTTTATTTATTTCTACAAAAGAGAGTTTTCTAATAATAATTATTCAATTTTTCTATTTTTTTCATTTAATACTTGCAATTATTATTTCTATTCATTAGGTGATGAATTTTATGACTAAGATTATAAAATAAATAATGTTACACTCATACTTCCATTAGATAGAAATTGACTAATTTTATCAGTAGAATATCCACCACCTCCTCCTTGTAATTTGGAAGGAGTGAAATTACTTTAATTTGATTGATATCTCTTTTGAAATGCATCCATGGCTGCTTATTTATCAAATACTTCATCATCAAATTCTAAACAACTTAAAAATAATATTAAAAATATTACATGGATTAGATTATAATTTATAATTCATCAAACCTTTAAGTCTTTTCAAAATCTTTAAAAGCTATTTCAAAATTTTTGATAAACTTTATTTAACTAGAATTAAGTTCACTACTTTTGAGAGCTAGAAATCATTATTTATTAATAGTTTTACAGAGTAATTCATTTCTTATCAAAATGAGATCACTTTTTTAGAATTAGTTTCCATCTAATCTTTTTTTAATGTAAAAAAAATCTGGTTGAATGTTATTTGAATATACAAATGGAGAAGTATTCATTTATTCTTTAGATTGTATGTAAAATTCCTTGACTTTTTAAGAATTGAAATAAAATAGTTTAGGAAATTGCATTCCTTTTGATACTAAATTATTATATCTAAAATAAATAACTACTATATATTACACTCTCTAATATACTGATTGTTATCCATCTATATTTGGATGCCAGATATTCCAAACAAATACACATTCACTGATCAGACGTATAAAAGTGTTACCAAGAACCATTAGTTGTTCATCTTGAATATATATATATAACATCTACCAGGTTAATTGGAGTAGTATTACTTTGCTTTTTATCCTTTTTCACAATGTTAAATTAGAATTTGTTCATAAATTGGCATGATTTTTATTTATACTATTTCTATAACCAAAGCAATATGACAATCCATTATTTCCTTCACTAACTGAATACTTGATAATATCTTACTCTTGTAGATAACACTTTCTCAATTGGTTATGATTTAGCATCTTCCAAAATATTTCCTACTGCTTATATTGCTCCTTAAGTTATTTCACTTTCATAATATAAATCATTATACATATTGTTCTCTACTATATAATCTTTAATTTTTTTTGTCTATTTATAATGATTTTCAGAAGTAAAGCATTTTTTTATATCATCTTATTTCATTTTCCTTTTTTTTATTAAAATATTCAAAAAAAAGTAATTGATAATGTTATGCAAATATACAAATAGAGGAAAACTAATTAAATTTATTTAATAATTAAAATATAACTTATATTATACATAATCTATAAATGTTTCAATTATTTGAATTGGTTCTCAATATTGAAATGTGATTTCACTTTATTATCAAGATTGTTCAATAACATAATTGTCTAATTGCTATTAATATAAAATAATAAAATTAAAATGATAGGTGATGAAGAAAACACAGAATTTATTAATGAAAATAGTAAATAAGAAATTAATGAAATCAAAGATGGTCTTAATTAGTAAAATAGAAAACAGTTTATTAATAATCTAATCTATTTTGGATCAATATTAATATTCACATGTATAATTATACTGCTATTTTGGAATATTAAAAAATAAAGTAATCCATCCAAATTAGTTGATTCCCACAAAATCAATCCGCAATTATTAGGTAAATAAATATTATTATAACAAGTCATTTCATAAGAACATTTTGACTATTTTGATTAGTTAAATAATACAACTTAAGTTTCTAATTGTAATTAGACTATTTTTAAAGAAAATATCTTAATAGTGATTAGTAATCAGATTATAAAAGATGATATTAAGGATTGCATAGAACTTTTAAAACCACAATTTAGTGATATTTTATTGATAATCTATAATGCTACATAAGAATCAATTCTCAAAGAGTTTGATGATGAAAATATGAATCAGTATTATTTATCAACCAATGAATTATCAATACAAAACTAAAAGATCTAAAAATTCGAACACTTAGAAGTAGATGAATAATAAGAAGTTGTTGTTTAGATTATTAACAATATATTTAAATGAACGTATATTCAATACATTAATTTATATTCGAATTTAGAGTAGTCGCATTTTCATTATTAATATCCATCATTATATTTGAAGATTAAAATAAATAAATATATTTATATTAATCTAAAATAGAATGTAATTTATACATTTTCTTACACCTAAGTCAACATTATTACTAATAATATTAAAAATTATATCATAAATTCTGATTCATAATAAAACTTATAAAATATGTATAAATTTTATTAACTATCTTCAAAAATTAAACTAGTCATAAAACCTTTTTAAAGAAGGAAATAGAAATTAATTAGACTAATATAGGTTCAGTTCTAATTTATTCATAAAAAAAAGTTTATTAAATGGATTAATCATATCTTAAATATGATTAATTATGAGTATATAAAATAAAGAGTTTGAAAAAATAATGAATAAAGTTCAAACTTTGAAAAAGAAATAAATAACCTAGAATTAATAAAAGAATTAACATCGTTTTTCTTCGCAGAAATTGAAGATAAATAGCCTTACTTCTCCATTAATATAAGATATATATTATAAGGAATTTGAATCGTATTAATTTCTACTAAAATTCAAGAATAGGCAAAAATACAAGTATTCCATACTGTTACTTCTTCTATTCTAAAATTACGACACCCTGTTAATCTAATTTAACCAATAGGTTCATTTACATCTTCTTCATATCTACATATTCCTTTTGATCTGACAATTATGAGTCTATTATTTACATTTAAACCATTTTCTTCAAATTTAATCCAATTTATTCTTAAACTTGTATTAAGTTATACTTTAGTATTTAAATTTACTAACTATAGTTATTCATCCTATATCTAAACATTTAATTCAATTTTTTTGGATACATAAAATCCAAATGATGTATGTTTAGTCTTAAAATGAAATTATAAATTTTTTAATCCTATAAGTAGTTATGGGTTTAATTCTTTTCCTCTATATATTTCAATAGGTTCAATAATTGATAATGGGGATATCATAGTTTCTGAATTTTTATTTTTGATTTCAATTGTAGTATCAGATAAATCATCTTCTTCTGATTAGGATATACTTGAAACTGTTCTCATTTAATTTCTTTTATATTATTTTTCAAATTCTATCAAAATAATTTATTTTTATTCATTAGTTATTTAATCTTTAATAACAGCATCAGAAAAGATTTCTTATAATTTAATTCTATCATATCCATTAGTTAAACAATATTCACTTATTAAAAGGGCAATTTAAAATTAATCTAAAAATTTATTTTTATCAAAATTGATGACGGCAAGATGATTATGTAATATCAATAATTTTTTGAATAAATTTGCTTATAAATATAAATAATGAAGTGGAACTAATCTAGTTTTATTATTATAAATATGTTTTCTTGCTTTATCTTTATCAATTTTTTTATTAAAAATACCCAAGAATCCATATTCTTTGAAATATTAAAAATAAAAGTTAGATAATGATTCAATTTCAAATAATTCAGATAATTAGTATCCTATTAAAATACTAGATTTATCTTAAATCAAGAATTTTTCTATTTAATTTTGTAGTTCTTGAATTTGAAAGAAATGTAATATTTAATACATTTCATATAATTCTTAAGGAGTATTTATTATTATTTCAATACCATTAAAAGCATTAACTAATTTAGCAACTAAATTGATATCCAAATTCTCTTAAACATAATCTATTTATCTTTCTAAATCACTTCCTTTAGACCATCGTCCTGAGAATTTTGTGTATGCTTTCTTAATCTAGAAATGTTGATTGGAATAACGAGATAAGATAATCTTGAAGTATTAGTATTATTGTTATTATTGTTAAACTTGATTTGTGATTATATCATTAAATTTGAGCACAAGCATAATTCGTTTTTAATTAATTATATATAAAAATGAGAATCCTAATAGTGCTATTGATTGGTTTGGTATTAAGACTTCGTAATCATTAAAGGCATTAAGCAAATTGGCCACAGATCCTAAAGTTGTACTTGCAGAAATGGACAACAATCATATGGGAAAAACATTCTTGAATGCCATTTAAATTAGTTTAGCTACAGGATCACCAGTTCATGAAATTTAAAGTTATATTAATAACATTAGGTATTATCTTATATCTATAATTAGATTTATGTTGGAATAAGAACAAAAAGACTCTGATCTTTATATCTAAAATACATAAGCTTCATGTAATAGATTACTACATGATTTCTCTACAAATTTGGCATATCATTAAAGCTAATTGAAAGCTCATACTAAAATTGTAGATGAGAATACTAACAATTTACAAAGATCATTAAACAAAATTGCTGAAGTTTCTGTTGAAATTGAAGAGAATTCTAAAAAAACAAATGCAGGACAAAGCGAAAGAGATTTACAATATGCTGAATTTTAATCTAAAATCAAAGATCATACTGAAGCTATCTCAGCAATAGATGAAGCTTATGCTTTAATTGAGCATTTATCAGGGGGATCTTCATTCATTCAAGTTAAAGGAAGATTTAACAAAGTCTTATCTAGATTATAAAGGTAATATATGATGATATTAATATTAGTCAATCAACATCAAGTGGATTATTGTTTTAACCAATTTTAACTATGATGACTCAACTCTCAGCTAAATCAGATTCTGATACAGCAAAGAAAGTGTTATAGTTATTGTCAAATTTGAGAGTTTAAATTGTTGAAAGCAAATCTAGTGATGAAGATATTGAAAAATAATAAAGTTTGAATTGGTAATAATTTTTATCAGATTTAACCAATGAAAGAAATACTTTGTAATTCTATTATTTGATTTTTTAGATCTGATTAAAGATAAAATCTTGAATAAGCAATCTTAAATTATTAAAGCATCATTGAAGAATCTTAAGGTAAAGTTGAATATCATGCTGCTGAAGTAGAAAGAAATCAAGTAATTCTATTTTAATAATTATTTATAGTCCAATTTGGATGGATAAGATTAATGGTGCAGATAATAATAAGATATTTATTAAATGGAAACTCAATCTAGAGTTTAATTATAAGACTTGATTTCTAGAATCTCAGATCACATCCAAGATAAGATTGTTACACTTAAGGAATATCTTAGAGAGAGACTCTAATTAAATTGAGATTAACAACAAACATTTAATATTATATATATAATGAATTCATTAACCAGTCTAAATATTGAATAATTTATTCACTATGCATTTATCAAAAAAACAAATCTTAATAATTACTACAATTAAGAATAACCAGATTGATATCTAATAAGACTTCAAAATAGTTACACATAGTTATTTGTTAGGCTTTGTAAAGTAGTTTCAATAAATTTATTTTAATATAAAATATTAATTGCTTAAAAAATGAATAAAAAACCGACTTCTTTTATTAAGTTTAATATGTTTAATCTAACAATATATTGAATTATTATAATACTAGATACAGATAAATCCTTTATAATCGAATTACTAAATAGTATTGTGATATACATAAGTGAAAGTAAGATGTTTAATTTTGAATAATCCTTAATTTATGTGAGAAGAAAATAATATTTTAAGTATTGTCTATTGTCAATTGTAAACTTAAGACAAATAGATTATAAGTTTTCATAGTTGTTTATTTGGTTTTAATAACAATAATTTGAATAAAAATTTTTATTGTTTTCCCTCAAAGTATTGATGCAAACTCTACTCCTCTCAAAGATGTAATCATATAAGATGAAAAATGATTAAATAGAGCACATTTTCTTTGAAATTGATTACAATATTTTACAAAATCCTTGAATTCTTTTAAAAAATTTCTTGTTATCTTATTATTAAAATCTTTCTTATAATGCAATTTTAAACTATAGATTTATAAAGCTGAGTTAACCTTATTGACTGTATTATATAAGAATTTTATTAATGAAATATTATTTTGTATGTATTTTATAAATGCCTTTTAATTGCATCTTTTTAATTCATTTATCAATAAATAATTACAATATTTTTGTCTTTTTATTATAAATTTTTTGATTAAATTAATATCTTTTTTATTCAAACAAAATAATTACTCTATACACATATACATTTTATTCTTTATTTTTTTCGGACTTTCAATATCATATCAAGATCCCTACAATAATAGAATGTTTTAAGAAAGTCTCGAAATAAACTAGATTGAGTACTTTTATAATAAATATATATATATCTGTTAATGAAAATATTTAAACAAATATAAATGGAAAATTATATATATCAAACTTAAAAGCTGAGAATGGTGGCTACTATTTCTTATGAATATCATAATTATTTGTGTTCAGTTGTAATTAAGAATATTCTAACTGTCATCATATGATAATATGTATGTGATAATTCTTTTTTATATTCATTTTTTCTACTGTGGCGTTTATTTTTATATTTGTTGCTTTTGTTATATATTCTCCTCAATCGCTTGTTTTGAAAGTATGAGTAAAATAAGTTGTCTATAAATACTAGAAATGAATTGAGCAATTTTTAGTTAAGATATTTATATATAGAGTAGAACAAAAAGAAATCATATCAAATTTATCAACAATCCCATTCAGAAAAGGTTTTTAAACAAGACTTAAGTTATCCTTTCTATTTTGGTTCATATAGTGATGGATTGAAATTAAAGGTTTCTTTAGTCTATTGAATCTATTTCCTTAATCTATCTTTGAATTTTATAATGTCTTCATCTTGAAATCTTAAAAAAACAGTAATAGTTGGTGCAAATTTGACATTTTTTATAATTTTTTCGTTTCTAAAGCAATCAGTGCTTTCTATTTCAACATAAGAATATGGTTTTTCTTCTTTAAAAGTTTCCACTTATTTAGGCATGCTAAAACTAGGCTTCGGTCCTCTATTGAAATTCATAATTTTCGAATATATGAAATGAGAAATATTTAATATAAATAAATTAGTAATCACAATTATCAACTAAATTAAGTTTATTTCTTGCATTTAATAGAGTTGTTAGGGAGTCCTTATTTGTATACATGTTTAAGGTTTTTATAACGTTCTAAGGATTATTCAATAGAGAGACTAATAGATTTATCTCTTTTGTTATAAAAGCTATTATTTAAAAGACATGAAAAGGAATCAGATACATTATTGTAATCAGTTCCAAGTGATGTAATGGCTAAATAAATTATAAATTAAATATACTTTCGATTGTCTGATTTTATTTATTTTTGTTACTAATTCTGCCATAAAAGGAATTACTTTTTTCTGTAATATTTCCATATCTTCCACAATAAGAATCAGAATCACAAGGTTCAGTCATAATGGTTAACTTTTACTTTTAGTTATTAATAGATTTAGATTTCTAAGATTTGTCAATTTAGTAGATTGTATGTAATTATTAAAGTTTTTCTTTGATATTTTGATCATAGAGTGCATAGAATGTATTATCATATTTATTTTAGGTTTAATGATCTAATTTTCTTTGTAATTCCTTTTTTAATAATATTATAGTTTACTTAATATTTTTGTCTAGCTTCTAATAAATCTTGGCAAATGGAAGCATTTAATTTTTATTATTGATATAAATCTTATTCAAGTTCTTTAACTTTATATTATAAGTCAGTCTTGTCCTTCAATATTCAATAAAATATATTACATATTTAAATTTTTAGAGGTCAAGTTTCATTTAATTTAAGTCATGATAATTGGATTTATTAGGTTCAATATTTTGAGAATCCACTTGCATCTGATATTAAATCTTAATATATATATAAACTATACTAATTCTTAAATTAACAATGTAATTAAGTATTTGAAATTAGACAACAATAAATCTATATTAAATACATCTCCGTTCTTGCAATTGGCCATTTTATTGATTAAATACTAAAATATTGAAATAGAAAATACCAGATTTTGAGATCCTTTGATTTACATTAGCACTTCCTCATATAAATCAACAAATTTAGAAATAATTTTTTATTCAGTCATTTTTGTTGAACTCTTTATTGATTTACTTTCGACTTCATAATCAAGTTCTAATATAAGTGATTTCTAATTTTTTTGTTTTTGGAACATGATATAGTTGCTGTTAAATAATTAAATTAATTATTAAAGTTAGATTATGAAATAGAAAGAGGATTAGTAAAATACTTTGGTTATTTTATTCTAAAATAGTAATGATCAAGGTGAAAAGATAAATCTACCAAATAATTATGAAGATTTCAAAAATGAGATGTATGATAAATATCAATTAGCAAAGACAAATAAATATGAGTACAATATTTCATTAAAATAGGTTTGATAATAAGAATATGGTGTTTAATAGAATCATAGATTCTGAGAAAACTTATAAAGAAATGATAGAAAATTTATTAAAATCCAAAGATGAAATAACAAATACCCCATTGTTAAGAGTAATAGAAGAGAAAAATCAAATACTTTTTGTGACCGATTCTAGTGCTGAAAGTTTGTAATTACCATCTAATTATTATTAATTCTAAAAGAAGATGGAAAACAAATTTTAAATGCCAAAGACAACTAAATATATGTGCAATACTTTTAATTATAATAGCTATGTTGCAGATAATGAAAAAATAACTATAGATTCTGAATCATAATATAATGAAGTTCTAAAAAATTTAAAGAAAGAAGCAAAAACAAGAACTTTAAAAGCAGATGATGAACATAAGTTTGACTATAATTCGTTATTTTTTATTGAAAATAACAATATATCTTGTGTTTGTAAATATTAAGGAACGAATTCTAATAAATGTAGATATTGTAATGGTACTGGTTTAATTAATAATTAATAATAAGAAGGGTATATAGAATTAAATAACGCATTTTAAATACTAATAGAGAAGAATTTCCAAAAGATAAAAAAATATATTAAAGATAATTATAAAGAAAATGTTGAAAACCTTTAAGATTGGGCAGTATTCAATTAAAAGTTATTTAATTTTGAGAATAAGAAAGAATTTTATTTTAAATGCATAAAATGTGATATATTTTAGGTAAAAGTAAATATTGTACATGTTAAAAGTTAATAAATACCTTAAGAGCCTGTTTGTGATAAATGTTTTAAATCTAACAATTTACATGGATATATTTAATATCCTAGTAAATTCCCACAAGAGAATTTAAACAAAGATTAAGATATATTTCTTAATAAACCTCCAAATTTAATGTAATCAAGTCATTGATGATTTGAATGAGTTAATAATAATAATTATTATTAAAATAATTAAAAAAATTAAGAAGGCTTTATCATTTAGCATTCATCATTTACGATAATCCAGAGGCTATTAAGAAAGAGAGATAAACTAAAATTAAATTAAATGAGAATAAAAGTATTATATGATTGGTATTTTTAATCGTAAAATAAACCAATAGTATAATTACAAAAGATTCTATTTATAATAATAACAAGTTCATCAAATTATAAATAATTACAGAATTCTGTTTAACTAGAAAGGAACTAAAGAATAATTATTTTCATATAAAATTTCCAAAAATGAAAACAACATTTATATTAATAATTCCTCTTATATTATGTTAAAAAAATAATAATCAAGTATCTTAATTATTATCTTAAAAGACTGATCATGATTTATTTATTTGAGAGGTATTTGTAAAAATAGAATGTTCAATTTAGAAAGAGCAACTCATAATTATAAAATTGTAATGATTCTTTAAGAGATTCTAATTATCGTTTTTGAGTTCATTTGATGTTTATGATTAAGTCAAAAAAGATAACTTCACATAAAATTCAATCTATACCTTTTTTGTGAATTTCTTAAATTGATAAAATCTAAAAAAGTTTTGCATTAATGAAGAATTGTTAAATAAGTTTAAATTATCAAAATTTTTCAAGAAAATTGCTATAATAATTTTAATGATATTATTTTTTATCGATTAAAAAAGTATTGTTAATAAATATTGATTAAGGTTTGAAAAGTAGAATGTAATTTTTAGTTTACATAATTGTTGCAGCAAGTGTGAATATTCAAGATCATCATATTCAAAATAAAAAGACGAAAGAATTTATAAATATATTAATTATTCATATTTATAAGAGTTTATATTTACTTATTTTAAATTAACTTAAGAAATTGATGGAGAAAAGAAATTAAAGAAATTGATTATTACACATAAATATAAAATAGTCTAGTATAAATTTAATATACTACAGATGACTTTTATAATGCTTTTAGGTTTGTAGTAAATAGAAAACCTCAAAGACTTCAACACTTATTATGGAGACTTTTTTGAAGAGATATTATTTTTTAATATTAAAAACTTTAATCACTTGTTGAATTATTAGTACTTTAAAATGATATAACTTTAATAATTAGTAAGCAGATTTAAGATAATTATTACTTTAGATTTAAATTTCAATCTTTATATGAACTATTTAATAGAATTGTTAAAATATACAAGGTTATTTGGATATAAATTGAATTAAAAATGAAAATAAATGATAAAAGAAAATCTTCATAAAAAATACCATTAATATTAAAAGTTAAATAATTTTTGTATCAAAAGAATGTTTTATGTAAAAGTTATTTATAAAAAATATTCATTCTTTATTGAAGTAAACAATGTATGTCATAATTTAAATATTATGTTTAAAATTTGTTTGTTACATTCCATAAAATAAAATAATTATTAATAAAATATCTATATAAATTGATTTTTCTAAAAATGAAGGAATTTGGATAATAAAAAATTCTCTAAGTTTTCTATTTATTGTAATTATTTATATTCATATATATAACTTATCAAGTACTAATGCGAAATTGTACTTTGAAATTTTCTTTTCTAAAACTTTTCTACTTTTATATTTTTGGAAGATATTCACCCAGCATAATACATAAAGAAATTTTATGAATGCGACAAATTTTATTAATTTATAAACAGAAAAGAATATGAGCTTCCTTCATGTTCACTAATAATCTTATCACTAATCAACTGATGAGTCCTAACATTCTAATAAATTGAACTTTCTTCAAATTCAACACGTTGACATCAGAGAATATAAAAAAAAATGGATGCTACACTTCAACTCCATTCCTAATTTTAAAGCCTTAGAAGGGATGTATTATTAGCTTCAATAAGCTAAGACTATGGATCACAGAGAAAAAAATGAGGAAATTTTACTTCAGTGTATTCTAATAAGTGTTCAAGCCCCTCTAAGTTTAAAACTTGTATATTTTATAACTATAAACAGTCCGATGAATAATGGTAGTTAGTTAGTGAATTGATGCCAACCTTTAGGACTCCTTAAGAATTTTAATAAATGAGCCTATTATTTCTACCTTAATCAGCTTATGACAATCCATGGACTGAATAAGAAGATCAAAAGTTACTTGAAATTATATTGTAATTTGTTTTTTCTATAATTTAGGTCATTTTTAAAATAAAAGAAAGGCAATAAATGGAGTAAAATAGCTAAAGAACTAAATGATATATGTTAGAATAAATTCATGAGAACACCTAAATAATGTAGAGAAAGATGGGGCAATAAGTTAGATCCATCTATTAATCGGTAATTTGATATTTTTATATTTTTAGTGAAGAATGGAGTGATGCAGAAGATCTTTATTTCTTATAATTACTCCTATAACATGGACGTAGATGGGCAGAAATTGCTATTCGACTTTCAGCTGTAACAGAAAGCAAGAAGAGAACAGAATTTGCTTTGAAACATCGTTACAAAAAAACAATTCTTTGTTCAAGTATTTAAAGTAAAATTGTTTAAAAATATGATTTTAGACTCTAAATAATATCTTGGACATAATTATTCCGTGTCTTCTGAATGGAATTCTAAGGAAGCCAATAAAATAATTGCCAAGATTTCTTAATTAGAGAAGGCAATCGAACCTTAGAGATCCAATATATATAATTATTAACCTTTAAAAAAATAGCTTAAACTTAATGACTCAAGTAGATTAGTCCTAATAAGAGGATCAAGTAAGGAGGAAATAGATTTATCTAAACTTTTTCATTAGATGAATCTAATGTTTCTTCCTGCTTCGAAGGGTCAAGTTTGAGTATTCATATTATATTAAAGTCAAAAAACAATTATCAATTATATATATATTTTCTAATTAGATATATAGATTAAATATTTCATTATAACATGAATTTAAATATCCATTTCCCACAATTTAGTAAATACTTTTATTTTTGATTTTTAGATTATAAATAAAAATGATTTATATATTATTAAAATTATAAAAATATGACGAGCTAAATAAAAGATAGTGCATTCTATAATTTTTTTATAGACAATCCTGAAAATCATTCTTTATAAATAAATGGTCAGATGAAAAACTCAGACACTAAATTTAGATATAGAAAATATTGTAAAAGTTAAACAGTTGATGTTCGCTTTCCATGGAATACTACAAAGGTTCATTTTAGAGTTAGAGATCATAATGATTTGAAATTAGGCTTTGATTTAGGCTAATGGAAACTTGGTAAATTTGAAGCCACTTATTTTGCCAAAGTCTTTTCAGTTGATAAAAAACTTTAATATTAATTTGGATTGTAAAAAGAAGTAAATAAGCAATTATGGCATTCAGTTTGTAATCAATTTATTTATGTTTAGGGGTATCTTTCAATTCAGGATTGTTTATTAATTACAACTTTAATATCACAAAATCATAATGGTATATAAGAGAGGGAATTTAATGGAATACCACCAATCATCAATTTAATTTTGATGGATTATTTAATTATACTTAAAATTTAAATGAATTCTTTATTAAAGCTTCTAATAGTTTAGATACAAAATTAAATTGTAAAGACTAAGAAATTAAATTGGGCTATTTAAGAAGAAGAGGAAATGATAAAGCATGTGGATTCTTAGTTGATAATAAATTGAATGTTGATTTGATTTGTCATGCAAAAGTGAAGAAATGTGATTGGAGATTTTACATTAATAAATAATTGGAAGTAAGATAATATGTGAGATACAATTATAACGATTCGTAAAATCTTAAAATAAACTAAATAGATTGACTATCCATTCAGGAATATCAGTACCACTTAAGACAATAGGAAAAGTGTGCCCATTAACATACTTAACTGCATTATAAGTTGAGTTGAACATTTGATATTATAAGATAGAAAAATAAAATCAAAACATAAATACAAAAATACTAAATATCAAACATCATAATCTTCTTAATTATCTACTACTTATTCTAATTTATTAATAAATCTTTTAAATTTTTAACTATCTTAATATAATTATCAAACTTTCTCTATCTTTAAAAATAAATAATCATATCATAATTGTAAATATTTTATGTCTATATCTACTAATTAAGTATATAAATTGTAATTATTAATTACTAATTGATTTTTCATTTATTTTAATGATTTAACATCATAATATGAGAATTGATTATATTATAGATATATTTATAATAATATAAATCACAAGTCTTTTTATATAACAGTCTCAAATTCATCATCATCATCATCTATATCATCACATTAACCATAAGTGTTGCAATGTCTTCCATCTTATTCATAATCATCTTCTATTTATTATGGTAATTGATAAAATAATCCTGAATATATTTTCCATTTTGCATCTGCATTTTTGGTTGTTTAAGCACTAATTTCAAGTTAACCTTCTATTGGACAATGATATCCACAATTTCTTTGATTAAAATTATCTTTTTTATTACTCCTCAAATATTTTGATGTTAATTTATGTTTCAAATAAAACCACATTGATGCTTAAAAATGATCTCCATTTTTATTATCTACACATTCTAGTATCCAATCATCACCTAATTAATATATAATAATTTTATTACTTGAATCTCCATTACCATTATCTCCATAAGCAGAAACCTCTTAATTACCAGAAAAAGGTGCTTAATGAGGATGAGAATGTAAATTTCTATTTGTTAACATATGCTCTAATCTAATACAATCTCCACATTTTATTTGATCATCTATAAATAATACACGTAATGTAATACCATATTTTTTTAATGGTTGATTGTAACACTCTTTAATAGTCCATAAACTGTTATAATCATGATCAGCCTACATTCCTGTGACTGATTATTATCCTGATCCACTTCCATAAGACACCAAATGAGAGTGAAGAAAATATTCTGAAGTTTAATGTTCTATTCTCACTGTAGATCCATAGTAAATCTTCTTTTTATCTATCTGA